TGGAGAACTGACATTTAAGGCGCGCCTAATCAATACTAAGGCGCTCGTGGAATGTCGAACCTACGGGCAGGCCGTGAACCTTCTAGGTTTCTGCTCGCGTGATTTGTTGCATTTTTACTTCTTGAGATATTTGTTTATGTCCTTCTAACGAAACTAACCTGGGGATATCGTTTTTGTTTTCGCAGGTAACATGGCGGAGCATCATGAACGACTATTGAAGCTCACTCAGGAAAAGAAAAATCATAAGAGGTTGGTGAAGTCGCACTAGCCTACACGCCTTGGCCCGAGCTCGGAGCCGATCAGGGATGGTTCGAGTGGATCATCGAGTGCTCGCGACACCATATATCTAGTGACTGTTCTGAGCAAGAAGAGGAGGTCAGAAGGTGGACCTGCAAGTGCGGTCGAGGAAGGGGTGACTGCACGGGCCTTCAACCTTCCACCTTGTTTTGTGGAAAAGGATTTCTTCGAGGTTTTCCCTCTGACCGTGTCTGATGTTGAGTCTGACGTTATCATACGCTTCGATGATGAAATTCGACGGAAGCACTTGGCTTCTGGGATGGTCGATTTGATGAAGGTCGCGGAGATGGATGTAGTCCTTCCAGGCGAAGGATTTGGCTCCTTTGGACTGGTGAAGGAATTGGAGTCGGAGAAGGAGACTCTTCAGGTGAAGACATAGAAGCTGGGAAGTGTCCTCAAGAGGAGCGAGGAGAAGTTGCGTGTGCATACCGATGAGTTAACGACGGAGAAAGAAGAAACTGCCAAAGCTTATGAGGAAAGAGATTCCTTAATGCTCGAGAAAGAACGGTTGGAAAAGAAGGTGGCCGATTTGAAAGATGTAATGTTGCCCATGGACGGAGATCCTGAAGGAGTCGTGGACTTGTATTCCCGAGCGGATTTAATTTCTCGGATCCAGATCCTCAAGTCGGATTGCATCGATGCTCTGACTGACGGCTTCGAGACTGCATTGACCCAACTGTCTGTGCTGAATCTCGGGCTTAACGCTGAAGGCACTGGGGTATTTTCCCAAGTCATTGATGGTCGCATGGTCCCTCCTCCTGATTCCCCTGAAGTGAAGGTCGAAGCGAGTACTCCTCGTAGTGACTAGGATTTATGATATTTTGGTTGTTTGTATTCAGGGCCTACGCGCCTGCATTTATTGTAATATTTGGACAGCTTTGGCCTTTGTGGTCGACATTTATAAATGTTCTTACTTTGTTGTTATGCCTTTATGTTTTCGTTGATGTTTGCTAGCTATCTGTTTGTCGTTGATTTTTGAATGCTTGCTAGCTATCTGTGCGTCGTTGTTTTTGACTTGTTTATTTTGTGAAAATTTATATTTCCCATGAGTGGATATGTATGCTCGACCTTGGTTGCGGACCACACATGTTGGGAAGTGTCGTGGGGGTGGAGTGGGGATCCCCCTAACGGGCTCGAGATCGCGGTCGGGATCTTAAGCTTGTGGCGTGAAATGCCCATCGCGAGCTGGATGTTCTGCCTGTTGGGTACTTTGACAGCAGAACTCGATTGAGGTGTCCCTGTCGGGCTAAGTTTCTATTCGAGGAATGAACAGCAACCCGCCGACGTTGAAGTTTGGAGGCCATGTCTGTACCTTAACATGCCTACATGGTTGAGCCTGTCCTGTTGTCGATTGGATAGGACTGGTCGACTGCTAATTCCCATAGTAGGATAATGAATTAGTTGTAATATTGTTTCAGTTTTGTAGCGTTTCATGGTCGAGGTAGTTGTTCTCCATTTAAATGTTCGAGGTAGTATGCCTCGGTGCCCGTTGTTCTGTAGACACGGTATGGTCCTTCCCAGTCCTCTTCCAACTTCCCTTCGCGATAATCTTTCTGATTTCTTCGCAGGACCAGCTTGTCAAGATAGAATTCGCGCTTTATGACTTTGTTGTCATGGCGAAGGGCTGTCTGTTGTTTCAGTGTTGCCTCACGTAGGGCTTCTCCTGAGCGGGTTTCCTTGACTAGGTCGAGCTCTTCCCTCAGGGCTTCGTTGTTTAGTTCCTCGTCTAAGGAGGGCCTCAGTTCGTCTGGATGGTTCCAATATTTCTAGGGGGATGACCGCCTCGGTGCCATAGGTTAGCCAAAATGGGGTCTCGCCCGTCGTCGAGTGGAGTGTCGTTCTATACGCCCATAGGACGTTGTGGAGTTCCTTGACGCACCCTCTTTTGGCCCCGCCCAGCCTTCGTTTGAGACCTCGTAAGATGACCTTATTTGCGGCTTCGACTTGCCCGTTGGTTTAGGGGCGTTCGACCGAGGTGAAGTATTGCTTGGTGTCGAGTTTGGTGATGAAGCTTTGGAAACCTTGATCGGTGAACTGGATCCCGTTGTCAGTGACGAGCGCTTGTGGAATTCCAAATCGGGCGAGCACGTTTTGTTTATAGAAAATGAGGATGTTGTGTGAAGTGATTTTTCCAGAGCTTCGGCCTCTATCCATTTCGTGAAATAGTCGACGGCCACGATTAGGAATTTGTTTCGGTACGTCCCTTGCACAAAAGGTCCGAGGATGTCCATTCCCCACCAGGCGAACGACCACGGGGAGGACAATGTGTGTATCTCGTGCGGGGGAGCGAAGTGCATGTCCGCGTGCTTATGACACTTGTCGCACTTCTTGACATGTTCCTTGGAGTCTTGTTGCATGGGCGTCCAGTAGTAGCCTGCTCGCAACGTCTTTCGTGCTAGGGATCTTCCGCCCATGTGTTTGGCGTTGATTCCCTCGTGGATTTCTCGCAGTATCTCAGGGATTTCAGACTCTTCGATACATTTTAAGAGTGGGATGGAGAATCCCTGACGATACAGCTTGTGTTCGAGTACCACGTGCGAACATGCTCGTCGTTTAGTCGCGGCTGCCTCTCTTTGGTCCAGAGGAAGCTCCCCCTTTGTCAAAAAGTTGAACACCGGGGTCATCCAACATGAGTTGTTCCCGATGGCATTTACCTCGGGTGGTATCGTGGATATTTCAATGCTCGAGCGAGAGAGGGATTCTTGGATGACGGATTGGTTCCCGCCTTTCTTCTTCGTGCTCGCGAGCTTTGAAAGTATGTTAGCCCGCGTGTTCTGCTCGCGTGGCACGTGCATGATCTCTTCCCAGTCAAACTTCTTCATATGTTCTCTGACCAGGTTTAAATATTCGATGAGGTTGTTGTTCTTAGCCTGGTATCCCCCTTGAACTTGAGATGCGACAAGTTGGGAGTCAGTGAAAATTTGTATCTCTCAGGCGCCCAAATCTTCGGCCAGTCTTAATCCTCCGAGCAGTGCCTCATATTCAGCTTGATTGTTCGACGTTAGAAAAGAAATGGTGAAGGAGTGTTCGATCACGACGCCCTCCTCGAGGGATTCCCGTTCCGCTCCCTATCGAGCTGGAAGTTCCGTCACAAAGATGATCCATTTGTGCTTCTTCCCTATAAGGGGATCATGAGCGATCATCTCTGCGACGAAGTCGGCCAGTGGTTGGGTCTTGAGGGCCTTCCTGCTCTCTTACTGGATGTCAAACTCCGAAAGCTCCAAGGACTATTTTAGCATTCGACCTACCATGTCTGGTCGGTATAGGAGTTGTCTTACGAGTTGGTCTATTCGCACGATGATCGTGTGTGTTAGAAAGTAATGCATAAGTCTCCTCGTTGTGTTGACGAGGGCCAAGGCTACTTTCTCAATTTGTCGATACCTGACCTCGGGCCCTTGTAGCGCTTTGCTTGTGAAATACACTGGCTTTTTCCCTTCTATAGTCTCACGAGCAAGGGTCGTGCTTACGGCCTTGGCGGAGACGGCCAGGTAAAGGAACAGAGTTTCCCCACTCTCATGTCGCGACAGCACAGGCGATTGCGAAAGGCTTTGCTTGAGATGGAGGAAGGTTGATTCCTACAGCTGGTCTCCAACAGTATTGTTGGACCGGTCCTCATATAGAGTTGGACCAAGAGCAGGCCCAGTCCAGAACAATTACTTTTAATAAAATTAGATAATTTACAACAAACTAATAATGAGTTTATTTGATATTTGCTAGTCCCGAACAATTACTTTTAATAAAATTAGATAATTTACAATAAACTAATAATGAGTTTATTTGATATTTGCTAGTTCAGAACAATTACTTTTAATAAAATTAGATAATTTACAACAAACGTAGCGTGGTAATGATATTTGACTGGGTAAATTTTTACTCTACAATGCATACCATTTTCCTTGACTAATATCAATCTAAAACTTAAAATTTCGGATTGAAGAAAATAAATCTGTTATAATTAATTTTTCCTTCATTTATTATAATTTTTTGCCACTTAACCTTATTGTTAGTTCTGTATTTGTCTTAAATTTACAATTAGAGACAATTTGATAAATATATTTTGGAGTAAGAAAATAACTAAGATTTGTTATTGTCTCCAAACAAATTCAACATTGCTAAATCGATTGAAAAACAATGACATGTCCACACTACAAAACAATATAACCAAATTCATAATGATCCTCTCTTGTGATAGCTATTCATTTACCACTTTAAAGTCAAATTCAAAAATTAGAATTTCTATGGCAATAGTATATTTCAATGGAGTTAGATCCTCTCAATTTCTCGAAAGAAATGGATAATATAATTACTATAGTTAATAGTATATTTCCGTTCCATTTATTTGAGAAATGGAGAGAGAATCTTTATCCTCTATTTAAATAGAGTGGCTGCTCAAAACATCAGTCTATATCTACTTAATGTAATTAACAAAATCAATCAATTGAACTCAGTTTTGTATTCAATTAACATTGTTTTTGAGAAGCAAGTATAAAAGTTAATGATAGAAATTGACAATAAAATAATTACAAACTGGAAACATGATGAGGCGCTATTATTCAGGTACAAGGTTAAAATGCAGAGACATTTCCAGTTGTTGAAAATTCTGATGGCTTAAATAATCTTTACGTTGACTACTTTAAAGTTATAAAATCTAATTTTATAAAATTCTACCAAAACTTTTTGAACTGTATCTCGTTGTGGAGCGCTTAATGCCTCACAAACTGCCGCATATCATCAGTATTTCGCTTTCCATAAGGATTGTTTGGGTTGAATCCATGTCTGCCTCCCTCAACTCTCCGTGTTTTCTTCCTTTGCTTACTGCTGCTTATGTTTACACTCACATTTGGAGGATTTGAAAAACAGAACGAAGCTGCAACAGCCTGCTCAAAGTATATAAACTGGCATTATGACTCTATTTTGGCTTTCGAATCCAAACAATTTAAGTTCATGTTGCCTCTTGGATTAATTTTGTTCAGTAACTAATTACCAATTTACCATTCCATTTGCCCCAATCCTTGAAGCTTTTGATCAAAATGAGAGAATATATAAAAGTTCCCAGTAACAGGTGATTTAAAATGTCAAGGCACAAAGCTTAACTACATAAGATCAATTTAGACAATATATTTAATGAAATAATTATAAAATATAATATACTCTAAGAGCTGTACCTGCAGATCGAGGCGTTGAACATTGAATATATCCTTGGAGGAATGTGAATCATATGCTAATATGTATGATCTATATGCTTCCTTAGCCATTTTGTTCAAAAAATAATTTTCTGCAACCAATTTCTCCTACACAAATGCAAAAGTTCCTTTGTAACATAGCTGCAGTTGGTTACATTAATAAATAAAACTTTATTTAACCCAAGGAAGAAGGAATATACCAGATGAGACCGTATATTAGCCACTTTCTTTTCATCATAAGCATATTCTTTCACAGGGACCTTAGCTTTCTGAAATAAGTATAAGTATAAAATTTATTATTTGGGATGAGCCAAGCATAAATTTTGTTATAAAAATAAGCAGAGTCCAGGAGCCTAGGGGAAATAGCAATCACTTTTCCCATATATCATGTACTCTGGGCATGAAGCTCACAGTTGAAATTCACTCAAATAATGTCTTGTTGCTAAGAAGCACGGAGACCTCTAGTTTTAGGCGTGTCCCATGCCCGACACACATGCAACATTTGTACCTCACGCTGTGTACAGCATCAATGTCGATGTCTTACAGTTTGGAAATTAGTGGTGTCTATACTCTATATGCCAGTCCTTCATAGTTCGCAATACTTAAATCAGATGTTCTGTCAGGTAAGGCTGTCTAGTCTTAACAATTTAACATTTTAATCAACAACAGATTAAAATATTTTCTGGACCCCGGACATGACGGGTGTATAGCCCTGAGTTTCCCTTTTTAATTGGATACATTCTCGGATAAAGTAAATGCATACACTAACAAGTTGATAAATTCTGGTTCAGCATCAGAGCACTTTGTTTCCCTTTTTCCTTCGATATATTCTCAGATAAAGTAAATGCATACACTGACAAAATAAATTATGGTTCGACATCAGCTAGCTTAAGATCCCCTACTGTTAAGTGAGAGAAACTTACCTTGAGATAGCGAAGAAACTGCAATTCCTCAGGAATCAGAAAAAGCAAGGCATTGCCTTTTCCACCTTCCCCACGAGCTGTTCTACCAACCCTATGGATATATTCCTGGATGCAGGATAAAACATACATTATACTAGTGTACAAAAAAATTTAAGACTGCTAAGAAACAAATAAAGTTATTTGTCCCGTCAATAAAAGAGCAGGAAGTACCTTTGGCTCATCAGGCGGATCATACTGCACAATCCAGTCCTACAACATAAATAAGGGGGGGAAAGATAAAACATTTACCTTAGATGATTTTCAATAAATAGAATACATTGCAGCATAATCCAGAATAGTTCATTCAAAATATGTTTAATCAATATGCATGCATGCATGCATGGAGGATTAATCTGGGTAAGAATTCCAACTTTGGTTTTGCTTACCTCCTTAAGAAATACATATCCACTTCTTACATCAAAATCTTTCGTTTTAACTACAGTAACGTTTACTTGTTTAGCAAGTGATTTCTTCGTTTTAACTACAGTAACGTTTACTTGTTTACTAAGTGATTTCTTGCAAATTTGCAAGCCACAACAAGCTTTGTCCCATATTCTGATACTGGAAACTACTTACCTTTCATTACCCAGCTGCTAGGTATTTCTGGTGTAGACTCATGCTTTTGTAAATAACGGATTCGTCTTAAAAGTTATGCGAACTATCTCAAATGCCATTCAGAGCCAGGTTACCAAAATCTCGACCTAGATTTTAAAATCTTACGGTTTTGCAATCTCACTCATCCCCAACAATCCAGATCTTAAGTAGAATCGTGTGTTACAACCAAATTGTGAAAAAAAACATCAAACCATTGATTATGTGTGATCTTGGCCAGTTTCCGCCGTGATCATCTGTTTTCCGACACCACCATTACAAGCCGAGAAGGATGACAAGATGCAGACACGCTACAATTACGGTTTGGCGGCAACGAATGCATATCTTATGAAATGGTGAAGTTTTAGATTTAAAGTTTAGAGAATAAAAATCTCAATTGTAGGGTTTGTTTTAAATAATGAACTTGTTATAAACCAATTAATGGACCAAATATGTCCCTAATGTCTGACAAATGCTTGTTTGGTAAATGGTAATAAAGTATAAAAACTCAATCATACGTGTCTAGATAATATAAAACATGGTCATTTTCCCACTAATACACTTGCCTACCAAAATCTATGTAAAAGTAGTTCAAACATATAGTATTATTTTATGTTTTGGTGGTATCTTACAATTTTGTTACAATCTTATGTTTTACGATTGTTACCCCTTTTGATCTTACAAAAATAATTGGGTAGGATTTTCCGATCTTAATGACAATCTTATGTTTTATGATCTTGCAATCCCTTCCCAATCTTTTGCAAGATCCCGATCTTGACAACCTTGATTCACAGCATTTGGGTGGTGCACACAGTATTATGAAATTTGGCAATGATTGAAAAATGATGATAAACAATAGAATTTTCAAGTACAGCTTTGCCATTGCATCTTTATAGCAGGCTAAGGTTGTCTTCTTACCCGTGTTATGCAGCGCACCTAATGGTTAAAGGGTTTGGTCATTTAATATGCAGAGAATACAGCAAACTTTGCATAATAAATGTGATTTTCATGTCTATTGTAATTGTAATTTTAATTTTGTTTTCTGTAGGAAGATTTTATATCTTTTGCTCTGGTGTTTTTTACCTGGAGATGTCTTAGATTAGGTAACCCCAATATTATATAGTTTGGTAAGATTAACTCTCATGCTTCTTCTCTTCTTGAGATAGTACTTCAGATTAGATTAGCCGGTTTCATACTTAATACTGAGGAAGCCTGATAAATCTAGCCAAAATGAGTCATATTCTTCCATCAAAATATTCAAGTTGATAAGAAAGATGAATATATACCACAGAAGGTATGTCCAAACCACGAGCAGCAACATCAGTACAGAGCAAGACCCCGTTTTCAGCTTCGCAGAAGTCTCTGAAAGCAGCTGTCCGGGTCTGCTGCTTTTGTTTTCCATGAATATTTGCACAATGCAGATTAATGTGATTGAAAATGTCTGCATGGAATTTGACACTGTTGCATGAAGAGAAAAAGACCATCACTTTTTTTGATTGGTGCCTCTTCAAGAAAGAATAGAGAACAGTAAATCTCTCGGCACAGGGAACAACAACATAACCCTGTAGCAATCCTTCATTTGTGACCTGCATTTATGAGTTCCGTCTCAGATATATAATGCTGATGAACAAAGTTCAAAAACTAGGATAAATTCAGTGAACACGTAACCTTCTTTCTTCCATCATCTACATCAATATAGACAGGAGTAGTTTGAAATGACAGGCGAGCAAGATCTTCAACCTATATTTTAAAAGAAAAATATGATTCAGAACCAAAAACTGAAAATGAGAAATACCATTCCTATATTCATGCAAATAAGCCACTCATTATCTTCTAATTGATAGAGCCAAAAATTACAGTTATATAAGAAAACAAAATTGAAAGGAGAACTGTACTCTCACTTTCAAGTACAGTGTATCAAAGTAAACAAAGAAACTTGTGTGGAATTTATTAAAAATTGAATTAGATGAAAATAAACTCTTGGTGAAAGAAATTGATGGAAGATGGAAAATGAACAGACCTTCTTTGTTTGTGTAGCTGAAAATAAAGCTGTCTGCCTACTCTGTTGAATGAGAAGTAGATAAATTAGTCAAGCCCACATACATCACTTAAGAACACAAGCTACATCTACACTTGTAGTAAGCATAAATTATAGAAGCCAGATTAAATGAAAAATATAAAAGAACATCTCATCCAACCTAAAATGGTTGGCCATAATATAAAAAATATGAGCTACATGACCATGCACTTTTAGGCCAACTGCAAGCAGCAGTTGACATTCAAAGTCAACAAACTTTTAGGAAGAATTTACGATTGTGCTTTTCCTCTATCGTAAGAAATAGACAATACTTGTAAATTTTAAATTATTGACGACCATTTTTCCAGGTGTTTTCTGGTTCAACTATCCAATCCACATAAGGAAAATAGGTTGGACTGAGCTATTTAAAGAAACCACCATAATGTTTTCACAGGCTCAGAATTATAGATACCTTTGGGAGGAGCTTGATAATCTGCTTCAACTCATCCTCAAAGTTTGCTTCCAATAGCCTGTCAGCTTCATCAATAATGAGGCACTGCCAACGAATTCAGGAATATAAAAGTAAGAATAGCCTGAATCTACGCTATATGCATCCATGCATCTACTTATTTCAAGAGCAAACAAGAAGGACAGGTAAATAATGTCACAACGTATGTAAACATAAAATAAATATCAGCCCAAATACTTGATGAACGAACTACTGATTAAGATCAAATAGGTATTTTGTAGCCAAGATGCCCATGTGATGAGCATTGAACAACCACATGTATATTCAACAAGAAATGCTTAAATTACTGATAAGCATCAAACACTTGTGCGTACATTCTACTAGAAATGCTTACATTACTGATAAGCATCAACCACTCACAAACCATACTGATGACAAAAACACATCATTAATAAATACTAGATGATAGATCGCATGGAATAATGTATGATATCTTGATCTAAAAGTGTTTCAGATTATCTATTAGAATTGTTTTATGTGTTTATATTATCTTAATTTTTTTTATTTAATTAGGATTAGGAGCCTAGAACTACTATACATATGGATTAGTGTTTAGTTTTCCATACTATCTATAACCATGATTACGAGTCAAAGTGTTTATTTTTTCTCTTCTCTCCCTATCTAAAACCCTAAAACTCTACACCAGAATTAGCAATGAAATATGCCTATATTCTAGTGAAGCAAAATTGAGAAACAATTATTAGGACAACTCAGTATATACCTTCAGATTAGCATATACGAACCGCTTGGTATTCTGTAGATGATCCAGAAGACGGCCAGGAGTAGCTACCAATATATTTATCCCTTTAGCAAGGTGTTCAGCTTCAGTTCTTCTAGCTGAACCTCCAATAATCAATCCAAGTGTTTGTGAATGATACTTTAGAAGCTTCTTGGCAACATCATGGGTCTAAAAGAAAAGTAAAATCAGCAATTATGAGAATTCACTTATATCAAACACGATAAAACATCACAAAGAATAACAAAAACTGAGGAACTGCATACAAAGAAAATAGAAGAACCAGATCAGATAAACTTCAAAACAAGCTATTATGAAAAAAGAAATATTAAAAAATCTTGCAATAATAATGAGTTTTTCAAAAAACAGTTTGGCATATAAGTTGAAAAGATCTTCTGCATCTCAATTATTTTCTTCCGAAACTTTAAGTCAGTTTAACTAAACTTCTAAACAAGACTAATACATACCTAAATAGTAAAAGAATCTTAAAAAAATTAGTTTCTCATCTAGGTTAAAATCATCTTCTGCATCTCAATTATTTTTCAAAATTCTTTTATTAAACTTCTCAATAAATACCTATAAACTATAAACCTCTCCATAAGGAATTTTTGTAAGTGAAGAGCAGTAAATCAATTTAAAATGAGAAGCTCCCATAACCTATAAACTAGTACAAATTGCACCTCTATTATTTAGCATCTCCATACAAACCATAATCTCATTAAGACCATAAACTTATTTTCATAGAGAAGCTCATATAGTCATAAGCTAGAAATTAATCAAAATTTTACCATAACTCGAACAGCACAGTTTAAGTATAGTACCTGAATAGCAAGCTCTCTAGTGGGACATATGACAACAACACCAGCTCCACTTCGAGGATTAAACTTAAGTTTATACAAAAGTTCCACAGCAGGAATTAAAAAAGCAAGAGTTTTACCAGAACCAGTCCTTGCAGCACCAAGAACATCTTTTCCACTCAAAAGTGGCGGAATCGATCCAGCTTGAATCTACATTGATAACAACATGGTTAGTTATAATTCCTAACATTATCCTATCGCAAAATTTTCAGAAATTCGTCGATTACCTGAGTCATGCGTTGAAATCCTATATCCACAATGGCTTTAGAAGTAGGTACAGATAATCCGAGAGAAGCAAATGATTCGGTACTCATAATTCCAGAACCGCTATTATCCTTAACTTTTTTCTCTTCCACTACTTCAGTTTCTACTTCCACCTCCTCTTTCATCTTCTTCTTCTTTTTCGAGGATTCTCCATTGCTACGAGTATCGTTCAAATCGTTTTCTTCTGCTACGTGTTGCTCCTCACCAATATCACGGAGTCTCTTTTTGTCGCGCTTCTTCTTCTTATGTGAAGATTGAAAGGTGTTTTCTGGTTCGGCCATGATTTGCGATGTTACACAATTTCAATTACTGTCTTCTTCCTCGTTGTTCAACTCTTTTTCGTTAAACCCTAGTAATGAAAAGTTATGGAGCCTTCGTTTGTGTGGGATCTGGATTGAGTGACTTTGAGGCGGAAAAGCACCCTGTCTTTCACTCAATTATATCCTTTGGATTAATCGAGTGCACTACTTTAAGCCACGTGTTGAAGCTTTATTTTCTTTTTTTTTAGATTCTCGGGTAAAATAAAAATGGGTCTAGTATTTTAATAAAGCCCATCTGTGGCAGTAGATACTATTGGCGCATTTGTTTTATTATTTGTACACTCTTTTTCCTTTTTCAAAATAACACCTTTGTTTAAGGCAAGCTAATTTATCTTAAGCTTTTCGACTCTTGATTTTTTCTCAACTAGTGAATAACTAAATATGCATATTATTGTAAAGTGTCGTTCAAAAAAATAATTTATTTATAAGCCTTAAAGACTAAGACATCACGCGTCAATTATATATATATATATATATATATATATATATATATATATATATATATATATATATATATATATATATATATATATATATATATATATATATATATATATATATATATATATAATTTTTTTTGCAACACAAATCTATTTTTATAATAGACTTAACAATATCATGAAAAATTATATCAATACAAAAATAGAAGATAATCGGGTAATAAGTTACGTCGCTATTCTTTTTTGGATCGCAAAATCAATTCTCTTAAAAATTACATCTATAGACTTAGGAGATACAACATTGTTATTCATAAGTCTTTAAACTCTCGGTAAAAGATCAATTGCTTCTGGTGCTAGGAAATCAAAAGTGTCAAAGACAAATGGTATAAAAACATATTGATTCTCAAAACAAGCTTTCTCGTGTTGAACACTTTACTGAAAGCGGCTTTGAGAGTTATTTGTCCCATAGTAAAACCATCATCCCTCAAACCCACTAGTAGAAAAACTTTCGTCAAATCTACACGAGCATGTTTCCCTCCTACCCACCCGTACACCAAAACATTTGTTGGCATAGGTGTCGATCTCCCCTCAAGTGGGTCAGTTAAAAAATTCATCGGTGCCTCTTTCTTCATAGATACTCTGGCACGTCGAAATATATCAAACAAGACATCCTTAACAAGATCATATCAGTATTTGAAGTCTGGAAGCTCCCTATAATGAATTGTGTGTTCCCCAAATGTATCCAAACATGCCTTACGACAAATAGGACAAACCTTATCAATAGGAAATAAAAGAATCATAAAGCGATTGTGGTACGGTGAGAGAACTGACTTGAAGTTTTGCGTTTGTTTTCACAAATGTTGCGGTTTAGCAAGAGTCGCCACCGACTTTTCTTTTATCCAAAAAGGAAAGGTGAAAAAGCACAGAAAAGACCTTTAGAGATGTTTTCTTGAGTTCGAGGGATAGATTATGAAAAGGGAAGGTGTTAGCACCCTTTTCATCCATGATTTTCCATGGGCTCTTAGTTACTCGCTAGATCGCTTGCTTTTATTTGAATGTGCTTGTAGTGTGGGTTTTGAAAGTATTTTGAAAACGCCTTTGTAACGGTTCTCGTCTCTATAAGAACGCGTACAAAGTGTTTGTTTGGAAAATAGTTCAAAGATGTGATTGTGTCTTGGAAAGTGGTTTTTGGAAAGATATTTTGCAATGGTTCTCGTCTCTATAAGAACGTATACAAAATGTTTTATCTTTTTGAAAATGTTTTTGAAATGAGAGTGTTGGTGCGTAAAAGTGTTTTTTTTGTCGTGAGCAAGCGAGTAATTAGGAGTTAATCTACCTACTCGAAAGGTCTTAAATGTGTTTTTCCTTCTCCTTTAAATGTTGCTATCTTACCATTGATTTGGTAAGAAGCTCCATCATTGGATGTGAAGGGACGGACGTGGGACGTTTGTATAGTCATAGAAGGTAACCTATGTGACGTTTTAGCAATTTCGTTTAGGGACTATATCGTTTTACCGAAGGCAACATCGAGGGTCATCAAGGGACTACGATCTTTTTTATCGAAGGGTCTTTGCTAAAACGTCCCATATTTGAGGGACGTGACTATTTTTCGAAAGGCCACAAAATGAGATTACCCCAGAGGTGCTAGTGTGCAAGTGTGTTAGTTTGCATGTATTTTGTCTTGTATTTGAAAGTCGTCTATTTGTTGATTTTATCTTGCCATAAATCCTATTTACTAGCAATATATGAAAAGCAAGTGAAAATGCGGAAAATAAAATATAAGTTATTACATCGCTTTAGGGGGATGGGGGTACAATTTAACAATGGGGATGAAGTGGAGACTGAAATATTACAGCCATATTAAATGATAATGAAAACAATATAAAAACAGTGTAAAATAAAAGGAAAAATGCATTTTGAACTGCTATGTGTCGACCCATGCTGTTATGCATCGACACATAGCTTTTCCTTGCTCCTGTAAAACAAAATCAGCTCAGTATGAGTCGATGCATACTGAGATGTGTCGACTCATACTTCTTCTTGTATCGACGCGTATGTGTCGACTCATAGACTTTTCCAACTTCTGTTTTGTAACCTGAAATCAGTATGAGTCGATGCATGGGGGGTTATGTGTCGACTCATACCCTGTTTTTTCACTAGGATGAGTCGACATATGAGGATATGTGTCGATACATGTTGTATTTTCCTGTCTTAAACATTGTTTTATTGTCCATACATGTCAGTTTATAGGATATGATTGATAAACATAAACAACAAATGATTGAATAAGCCTAAACAATAAGCAAGTAAACAGTTCAAAAGGATCATAAAATGCTACGTCTCATCTTCAAAACAAATTATTAATGATGTGTGAAAAGATATCAAGTCAAGAAGACTTACCTTGATGCTGCACTGGCTGTTTTAAATCTGAATGCTTTTCTAGATACTATGATGACTTTGTGAATCTTCAGAAAGCTTCTTCGGACTGTTGAAACCGAGTTGGACTGTACTGTAATGTTTTTGGTGTTTTGAGGGTGGAGATGATAGCACTACAAGGACTGTTTTTATGTTTGGACCCTCTTTGTATGTGATGAGTTATTTGGCTTATGGGAGAGTTTTTATGATGGAATAATGGGTTGGTTTTTGTTTTGAACAAGAACAGATTTTGAAAGTGAATGAGTCAAGGTTACAAAGGATACTGTTTTTCTGCTCTACAAAAACTCCCTCTGCCCCCTCTCTAAATCCAACCCCTTATGTCTTATGAGACCCTCCTTTTTGTAGACCTTTGATTGAGATTTAGGGGGGAAACAAAACAAGTTATTTTGAATTATTCTTTTGCCTACTATTTTGATACTTTCTTCACACAATTTTCCTTTGCCATTTTGGTACAATTTTGGGGTTGTCATGATGTAGGTTGGGGTGGACTGCATAGAGCAGTTTTGGACTGTATAGGACAACATATGCATACTTGTGGGGCAGCATAGCACAAGGTTTTTTGTAGGGCAACATGGAGCAGATTTTGGGGTGTTGTGACAATGTAGCATATCACAATTTATTCAATCTTAGACAGTATAATTTGTAGCATGACATAAATTTGGTCTTGTGGAATATTCTATGCATATTATGTCAAGGGCAAAAATGTTGTGGCAAGGTTTTTTTTTTAGAGAATTCAATCAAGACATAGTTTTAGAATTTGTAATTTTGCAAAAATGTCACTTTGTAATAACTTGCATCATTTTGAATTATTTGGAATTATAGTAAAAATGTCATGAAGTAAATGAAATTAACCAAGTATAGAAAATACTTAGAAATTTCAAAGTCTTGCAAAGTTGGATTTTTTATTCTCTTGATTTTTGATGATCAAATTTCATTTTTTTTGGATGTCTTGACATAATGCGATTTTTGGGACTCAAATTTAGTCAAAAAGTCAAAGTTTGACTTTTTAGCGTCTGGTTGACTTTTTCCAGCTGAAACTCCGATTTTGCTCATTTTGCCCCCTTTTGACAATTTGAAAGATTCTTCTTAGAAAATGCGATCTGAGGCTTGAAACTTGACTGAAGTAATTCTAAAAGTCCTTGAGACATGAGAGGGCAAATTTTGGGGTACAACAGCCGCCCCTGTTCAATCTTCTTAAACTTGAAAAGTTAGATTGGCGAATCTACCATTCGTGACTTGAAGGTGGAAGATGATTGAACACTAGAGTGCCCAGAAATTTGCACTCGGTGATGTGGTGGTTGATTGTGCAGGGAATTGGCTTAATAGATGCCATTTGGAAAAATGATGGGGAATTGTCGGAGATGAGCTTGTAGATGCCATCTAGGAAAGATTGGTTGCATAAGGGATTCCTTGGCGAGAAATCCTGTTCCTGCTGTCGAGGAGGACTTCACCGGGGAATGTTAGTTTATGTCCTGGGAAGTAAAGTTTAGGAGCTTCGGTTGTTCATTACTCCACTGGGGGATTATCTCCTGACTGAGGAGGTGAAAGTAGAACATATACCTGGTCAGGGTCCAGGCTGTGCAGCAACTCGCTGGAGAAATGTGAAATCGACCGTATCTGATCGGGTCCAGGCCTTACAGCTGTTGTAACCTGTCGTCTGGAGATAAGGGAGAAGGAACCTGGATAGTAGGGTTACTTCGAAATGAGAGTCTGGGTAGTAGGGCTTGTGGGAAGGAACCTGGATAGTAGGGTTACTTCGAGATGAAAGCCTGGATAGTAGGGCTTGTGGGAAGAAACCTGGATAGTAGGGTTACTTCGTGATGAAAGCCTGGGTAGTAGGGCTTGTGGGAAGGAACCTGGATAGTAAGGTTACTTTAACATGAAAGCCTGGGTAGTAGGGCTTGTGTGAAGGAACCTGGGTAGTAGGGTTACTTCGAAATGAAAGCCTGGGTAGTAGGGCTTTGAGAAGGAACCTGGGTAGTAGGGTTACTTCGAAATGAAAGCCTGGGTAGTAGGGTTGTGAGAAGGATCCTGGGTAGTAGGGTTAATTCGAGATGAAAGCTTGGGTAGTAGGATTGTGAGAAG